ACTTTTGCTTAAAAACTAAAACAGCAATAACAAAGACAAAACAAAGACAAAACTCAACCACTATTCAATTTTGTATGGAAATGAGTTTTTTGACAAGCTATATAACAATAGACAAATATGTTATTCAGAGATGCTTGGGCATGGATGCCCTGTTCTCCTTCCAGAAACATTCAACTGCTTCTCCCTCCCATGAATAGGATATCATCTAGTTGACTTTGAATTTTGCTCATAAAACAGAGGGATATAATATCAACATCTGGGTGGCAGTGTTGGGGGATCATGGTCAAGACGGACCAAGCTTCTCAGGTGTGATGACACCATATTACATAGAGAGTGCCATGGAAGGCTGTTGCCAAAAGCTAAAAACCACATCAAAAGAGCTTCTAACATGCTGTATCTTCTAAGGGTCCACACCATGACTGTCATGATGATTCACATCTTAGACCCTTAAGTCAGCCATTTACCAGTGTTCTGTTACTAAAGTCTCTTCTTGATGAGATACCAATCTGTTTTTATTTATAAATGCTTTCTTTGTTCTTTTCCTCAAGTCCATAACTTTTGATTGTAGACTATTTTTTACCAAATATCAAGATTTGGTAAAGGAAATCTTTTCATGAGCAATTCAGATCATCTCATTTCAAAATTATACTCTGTGTAGTTTTGAATCTCAACAGTATGACAAATGATGCTCTTGTTCACATTCTAGACCAAACTGTTTACCACTTTCTTCCTCAAGCCCCTTAAGATTCACTGAGGCCATTTTCATGTCTGGCCTTGACTGCTGAGCTTTGCTGCCATGTAGATTTTCCTCTCACACACAAAATACATTTAATACATGCCCTTGCCATTATTGCCTGCCAGCAGCTGTCTCTGGAGCTCAGCCACAGATCATTGGTATGCACACTACTATATCTCTGCATACATGCCATATATCCATTCACCCACTTATCCATAAACTCATCTAAACTAGAGAACTGGCTTTGTGGAGGCCTTTGCAACCTACTTGAGATTCTTTTCAGGCATATTTAAAGACAAAGGTTTCCCTGTCAATATTGATCGGGGAGTCTAATCTATGAGGATAGACACACCTTAAGAATGAAAAGGACCTGTCTGTTTCTCTAAAGGTAAAAAATACAGTGTTGTTGTTTTTCCCAGAGGTTCATTCTAATATTTAGTCAAACTGTATTGTCCAAAGTACCATTTGTATCTGGTCCAGGTTTTTGTTAGTCACAAATGATTTTGCTCTTACTGTCTCATTCTGAGTTAAGCTATTCCTGTCTTTATGGAGTAATTCCACTCTTCTATCTTACTTTTCTCTTTCTTATAGCACTACTCAAAAAGATTAACTTTTTATTGAAGGAAGTACTTACTTGTGCCTACCATAATAACAGAGACAGGCACATTAGGGCTAAGACCATGTTTAAGACATAGACCAGACACCTTGCAGCTCAGTGCATTATATGCAGTAAATTACTATAGTAGTAAAATATAGTAGTACATTACTAATATAAGCTTGTTCAGTGTTGTTGGTGATTAGATAGAGTTGGTCATTTTTACAGGTGGCCACTTATTGTTTAAAATGAGACTGTCATGATTGCATTTTTTCTCCTGTTTGGTATATTTGGGTAAATAGAAAATAGCTTTTTCTTTAAGCTACAGAGCTACATAAAAACAATTAAATATGCAAAGCACTCACTTGACAAAGGTCTAACTGCAAGTTGGAAAGCCCATAAGGGTTGTTATCAGTAGTACCTATTAATTTCTAGGAAGAACAAGTACTAATCAATGTATGTGCCTACAATGTGTCAGGCATTGATAGTTAATCAAAACTGTCAACTTGATGAGATCTGAAATTAGCTAGGAGATGGGTTCCAGCCAGGCATGTCTGTGGGTGATTCTGTTGATTAGGTTAATTGTGGTGGGAAGACCTGCCCACTGTGTATCATATCCATTCCTGGGCTGTGGATCTGGGCTGTATCAAAGGGGGAAAGTGAGCTGAGCACAAACGTTCACTGAGTTCTGCTTCTTCACTGCTGATGTAATGTCAGTGGCTGTCTTCAGCTCCTACCACTGCCGCTTACTAACGAGGCTGGATTGGAACTTTGAACCAAGAGCCAAGATTGACTCTTTCTTAAGTCGTTTTTGTCACGGTATTTTTTTTTTTATTTTAGTGATAGGAAACATAACTGAATCAAAGGTATAAATGTGGCTGTACACTGTACATTACAAACTCTGTGATTCAAAAATGTTAATTTGACTGGCATGTAACTGAAATACATGAGAGAGCTAATTAGAAGAAAAAGTAAGTGCTATACATAAGAGATTATGATTGGAATCACACCTATTCAAAGAGAGAAATCTTCATGAAACACACTGTGTTCTTATAGGTTCATCTAATCTATTTAAATGGGTAGGGGTGTAAGCAAATCATTTTAGATGGGAAGAGGTATGTGGCTAGATGCAAAGCTGAAATTTGTTCAGGGCAAAGAGTTGAAAAACTGCTAACATTAGCTTTTACAGGTCATATAGAAGGCAGGAGATAATTCACATAGGCTAAATAATACATGGTGAAACTGTAAATGAACAGCTGAGGGAGGGCTACTTTCTTGGCAGCATCCAAGAAGCCATGCGCTAACACGTGGCAGCTAATAACAGAAAGTATGAAAAGCTGATGGACTTTTTGTGTTACACAGCAGGGAATCCCAAAGCAATTCCATTCATTATTTACAAAGGATCATTTTTCCCCTTCACTTTATAGAGCTATCGCTGCACATCCAAGACACGTTAATGAGCTTGTTGTGCGACGGGATAACTGTGACCTCAACTTCCATCTTCCGCCCAGGTATCTCTCAAGAGCTGACAGAGTCCCGGGAGAACAGATGCTGGGGGGTGGGTGAGAAAGCAACGGTGTAGACAGGAAAGGACAGGCACTGGCTGAGTTAATGAGGGACCACAAAGGATGGGATGTTCAGTCTCATCAACTTTCCAAATGCTGCTGCTGAACCACCGGCAAGAACAGACTACTGATGGGAACGACTGCACTGCCCTGGTTTGCAGGTTGCACCATAAACCCATTATTCTCATACTTTCCCTTGGCCTGCGAGGGTCACTCCTGTCTTACTTTGCAGGAGCTTCACTAACTATAGTGTGACCAATGTTCTTTGTGGCCATCGTCTCTAACCATCAAAGATTAACTCACAGAACTCTCACTGTGATTCTTCCGTCAATTTTTTCTTTTTTTGTGGAGAGACTTGCAACTCAATTTTGAATTTTGTTGCATGGCTTTTTAAAATTCTAGCTCACATTGATTTTATTCAAATCAAGCAATCCGCGCTGTTAGCGGTGAATAATTGACTCCCACTCCCATATACTGTACAAGCTGTTAGCATAATAGCTCTAAAGTGCTTCAGAAATTTGACACAAAAGTCTTTTGACATTATGTTCCAACTGAAGAATACACCTTTCTTTTTTCTTTCAGTCCCTCTCTTTTCTCTCGAAAGAATTTCTGCTTTCTGAAAAGGTTCCCCAAATGCAAACAGTTTTATCCTCTTCCCGGAGGACTGTGACTAACCCAAGGCAAGATGAGAGCTAAAGATCCACACAATCTCAAAGACAGTGAAGCACTGCCTTCTCCGGTGTTCAAGTCCCTGGCATGCCATGTTGGAACCATACACAAAGAGGCAACATACTTGGTGTATGAGAAGGGGCTTTCTGTCCCCAAGAAATAGTGCTACCCAGAAGAATGAGATGTGTCTAAAGGACATTATGGAATGATATCCTGATTGTCTTCGTTTTTAATGGTTTGGGTTTTATTTAACTGTCATAAAGTGTGTAAGAACAGTCCATGCTATTTGTCAACCATATCTGTCAAGAACGTGTTTTGGGAAGGCATTTTTTCCTTGGTGCTTTCTGTTTGCTTGTTTTGTTGTGATAGGGTATCATTTAGCCCGGGTTAATGTGGAAATTGCTAGCTGATGATGACCTTACACTCTTGATCATAATGCCTCCAACCTCCCAAGTGCTGACATACAGACAAGCATGTGCTATCATTTTCCTACTGTTCCTTAGGTTTAATAGAAAATCCTTTGAAATGCTCTAGCAAAATATTTATATTTTATAAACTTAAAGTGGATTACAGGAGCATGGTGGATGCTCTGGCCAATGTCCATGACCAGAGAAATGCTGAAAACCTTCATGTAACTAATCCAATTAATTAGTTTTTATTAGTTTAACTCAAAATAAGCTTGTTGCTTTAAAAAAATTCACTAGCCTTGACTTTTCATATCTTTCCTACAAAAATTGAGCATTCTTTTATGTCTGAATCAAAATTTTAAAGAAGACTTTCCCTAACCATTCAGCAAATTCCTTCTTGCCAAATGTATTTCCTGTGGATCCCCTTAGCTAATACTGTTAGTGAGTCCCCAGCATCCTGCTGTATGGACTGCCTCAGAGCACACAGCATGCAGAGAACTTGCCCTATTATATTTGGAATTCTTGCCTCTCTCAGGACAGCCATCTTTGCTGGGAACCATGGCTGTACTATGTCAATGGATGCCTACACTCCTTAGCTTCAAAGGAGGCCTGTCACAGTCAGTGTGGCCTTGGAAAAGGTTGTGCAGCTATGGCGCACTCTATGTAGTCTTTTTAAGGAGCAGGAGTTTGGGTTACCTCCAATTATTACTTCTTTAAAAAGTCTGTATTAGAGAGCAGACAGCAGGCTGGAGAGATGGCTCAGCAGTTAAAGGCTAGGCTCACAACCAAAAATATAAGAGAGCAGACAGCATCTCTACTATATATTAGACATAGTCTAGAAAAATCACTAAAAAGTACCAGCACATAAACTCCACCTCCGAACAACTGAATCCCTTTCCTTCTTTAGGTATATATGTAAGGCATTAGCAGAAAGAGGAAGGCTTTAAAATGTTAACAGTCAAATCAAAATTAGTTTCAGCATGAACACACACACACTGCTTAAGATTTCATCAAAGATTCACACTCACCTTTGTTATTGTACACGTCTAAGTAATTTGGTGCTGAGAAAATTGTAATTAGAGAAGGGAAGCCTGTTGTTTGGCTTTTCCTGTACATGCGGTACCTACAGACAACAAATGAAAGGTAAGCAAGATGAGCATGGACACCAAGTCATATACCTGCAGAAAGGAAATTAGTGAAGTTCCGTCTTTCAGAGAGTATCCAATGACATATGTGAAATAAAATCTAAGTCTTCTGAACACAGGCATCGGTCTATTTCAGGAGTGACAAGAATGCAAATCTACAAATCTACAATCACATGTGTGGTTTCCAAATGGGTATCTTTTAAACTTACCAAACTTTAGGGGTGGGTGGAAACCAGGTGAGCTCTAATTCATTTTCAGGTGCTCAACAAAAAAAGATGCAGGCTAGAGATTGCAAGGAGATACCCCAAGACCATTGTGGTTTTCAGAGAGGGGCCAGTCACGTAAGTTGAGACCCAGGCCAAACATTCTGCAAACTATTCTCTACAAGGTTACATATAAACCTTTTGCTTAAGTGATTTCCTGAAACACCATGATTTTTTTCCCCTTTAAGAATGTCTCATTCAATCTATGAATTTTACTAATTGAGACATTCTACTTTAGAATTGTATTTATTACCAGGCTCTGCTGGTGTCTGCACAGGAAGGATTGTCATCTCAGCAGGGTGAGATGTAATCAATGGGTAATGAACAGAGCATCCGTGAGAACTTTTGGAAAGTAACCTCCCTATTACTTCTCCTCTATCAGGACAAAAATTATTTGTAATAGAACCCTTCAATTATCTATCAAAAAGAACAGGAGTCAGGGGCTCTTTTTCCATCACCATGAAAACATGTCTTATAAATTTAGGAATATCAGCTTAGAAGCATTCTTATACAACATATCATCATTTCTTTGGCTATTTTTTTTTAAGTTTTGTCTCCCCCCCCCCCCCGCCCCCTGGTATTTTAATGTAGCTGAGTTCTAAGAGTTGCCCAAACTGCACCTTTATACAGACAGCCACTTTAATAGTTTAACTTTAAACAGACTTTGATTTTTTTTCTTTCTGGAAATACTCAGACATTGGCTTTTCCCAAAAGAAACACTCCATTAAAAACCTTTTTAAAATATTTCAGATGTATTTTGTTACAGAGCTATGCTTTGGTTGGTGTAGGGACAAGGGTTGTCATAGGGGGAGAGAGTAATAAACTCCCCCTTTCCCCCAAAGTAAGAAAAAAACTTTAAAGACAAAGTGACTACTGATCACATATGCTGCAAGCCAGCAGGGGCTTCTCAAGTGAAGAGTAATGGGTCAAGCCACATATTCCTACCTAGTGCTTGTACTTTATAAAAGGAAGTTGGTTAGGCCTACTTCAAGATGAGTAAATAAATAGCGAAACTACATAACATGTCCTCATCTTACCCAAACAATTAACCAACTGCTCATTTTAAACAGAAATATTTGACGTTAATAGACATTAGCCGGTCAAGTCAACCGTGTCCAAGTGAGCAAACAATCTCAGGTATGTAATGTGATTAAGAAACATCTGTTCTGCATGTCTAGCCTGCTGGAAGAATTGTCCCCAGAACAACATGGGGACACCACAACCCTGAAAAGCTTAAACACTTCTGAGAGTCGACACATCGTGTGCATGAATGGGTCACTTCGATGGTCAGCGACAGTACACGGACGGTACAACACTAGGTTAGCTCCTACCTCCCAAGTCACTTCTTAGAAAGGACCTTAGCTTCTGTCATGTGTCAGGGACATGCGCCACATGTGCCACTGTAGCAAGGCATAAGCACCCCACTTTAGCGCACAGGTTTTAAAAAGGAGTGCTTTTACATTTCAGAAAATGCAAATTCAAAGGGATGGGTTTATATCTTTAAAGGCAAGCAAAGGCCTTTCAATGGAGCCTGATGGGAAAGGAGGTCAGACCCCAATTCCTAGGATGAATCCCCTCCCTTCTTTCTCTCTCTCGGGTTCAAAACATCAAGGTAAACACCTGACATTTCTCAGTTTCCCAAATTCTCAAAACTAGGTTTTAAGAATTCAAGAAATACAAAATTAATTTGGTAGAACTATTTGATAGAATACGGGACTTTTTTTGTTGTTGTTGTTCAATAAATGTCCCAATTTCCTCCCCTATAAAACTCAACAAAGAGCAGGAGTGGTATGCTTTAAAACAAGCCTACAACGTGTAGTAACTTTTACATATTTGTGACTTTCATCCACATTGTGAACCAAGACTGAAAAGTACCCTGTGTTTTCCCTCCTTGGTATCAAAGTGATGGCAAGAATTGAAGGAAAGAGCCGGGCGGTGGTGGCGCACGCCTTTAATCCCAGCACTTGGGAGGCAGAGCCAGGTGGATCTCTGTGAGTTCGAGGCCAGCCTGGTCTCCAAAGCGAGTTCCAGGAAAGGCGCAAAGCTACACAGAGAAACCCTGTCTCGAAAAACCAAAAAAAAAAAAAAAAAGAATTGAAGGAAAGAAGGGGAGGAGACTGGAAGAAAGCAAGTCCTTAAGAAAACAAATGGGAAGAAATGGATTTCTTCCCTCTAAAGATGGAGGCATGTTAAAGAGGAATTCACCAGGTATCAGCAGCCACACACTCCCCGCAACTCTGCCACAGCTGAGCTGCTGGAAGCCCATTTTAAAACTAGTTCCTTCGGGAAATGAGCCTGGCCAAACAAAGGGAGTCTGCACAGCCTACTGGGTGACGGACAACATGGTGATCATTGACAAACCCTGAGCATCACTCACCCTGCGTCCTGGGCTTCGTGGGCTCGGAGTATGGACAACAAGTTATTGTGCTGCAGGAAGTCACACACAGCTGGATAACTGCCGGACACAGAAGGAAAAGAAAAGCAGAGGTTAGGAAGTCTCCAGGAGTCGCTACACATCACAAGGACCCCCAGAGGCTGCGGGGATCCAGCACAATCACACAGCATTCAGGAAACAAGTCCCTTGGCTCTGGGGACAGGTTTGTCCCTGAGGCAGATAAGGAATAGACATGTGGAAGGGAAGAAGTTACTTCTGAAAGGCGTCCTCTGAATTCCACAGGTGTGCCTTAGTGTGTGTATCTGCGCTCAAACACCCATCACCACACGCCCAGAGTAATAAAGTTAAAATTCAAAAGAAAGCTTCAATCTCAAAATGTCATTGTAATTGAAATCCAAATTACAAACTGAAACTTAAAATACTGTTTAAAACTTAAAGTGATGTTTACAATCATAACATTTTTGCTCAAGATATCTTGAAATCAATTCAAAATCAATAAACTTTTGAATTTAAATTGACAATTGAAATCAAGGTCAGAAAAACCAGTATTTTATAAACAAACTGGCAATAGCACTAAAAATACACACATGTAGATATATTCATAAATAAAAACTACTTTGGAGAAACAACATAGTACTTAGTATATGGGACAAAAGTACTAGAGATGACAAATGCAGTTCCTATGTCATCTGTTTGCATAAATTCTCCAATCAATATGCCTAGGGATACCAACTGTGTGATGGTCAGTAGTGATGGTCAGCAGGACTAGTACTAGAAACATCTAGGAGACAAACCTCTGGGCATGTCTGTGCGGGCGTTTTTAACATTAGGTTCATCAAAGTAGGCAGATCTACCCTAACTGGCAGGATATTGTTTGGGAGAGGATCCTGGCCAGAATAAAATGGAGAATGCAAGCTGAGTGCCAGCAGTCATCTCTCTCTGTTTTCTGACTGCAGAGCAGGCACAAGGTGAGCAGCTGAGGGGGCAGCAGCCGACCTGACTTCCACACCGTGACAGGCTGTAACTTCCTTCCTCACACAGCTTTGTCCTGCATGTTGTCACAGCAGGGGAAAAGTAACCAATTCAGACGGTGAGAAAGGTTTAGTTCTTTGGCAACAGCAGCTCTTTTTACAAAGTATGACGAGTTTTGGTTCATCCGTGCACGCATGCATGTGTGTACTCTGTATCAGAGCTCCTGGCTGACTGACTCGGCAGAGAGGAAATGTGGCGGCCTACCAGACTAGCTGATGGATTGTTTCCTTTGCTGGGAGGTAGGGCAGGGTGATTGGGATTTGACTGGGGTCTTATAAACTAGTAAGAAACACTGAATGTGATTTTTTTTTAAAAAAAACCACTTAAAAATCTACAGAGGAATAAAATACATTAAAGATAAAATATTCCAAATGTTATACAGACATTATAGGGTAAGGCAGCAGCCCCGCCCTCATCTGTTGGCCACGAAAGAACATTGAGAACTTGATCTGGCACAAGATCTCCAAGTGATGGGTGTGGATCAGTAGACAGGAGAGGGTTTGAAAATTCCATTCTGAGGGGGCTTGGAGATTGAGTGTGAACATGTGAGCAACCGTAGAAAAGTTGGATTGGAGCTCCTTGTTTTCTTATTTATGTTTCTCTAACATATCAAATACATTTTAGACTTTGAATTAAATATCTTAGGCTTTTTAATCAAGATTTTGCCTGCAGGTATCACTACAATGCTTCTGCATGCATAAGCCTTTGCAGATACTTTCCCTGTATGTTTTTTCCTCCCCAAAAGACCAGTTTTTCTACTATGAGTTAAATGATCCTGTAAGAAGTCTTCTTGTCAAGCCCACTTCACCCTCAGGCCTATAGAACTGCAGCCTCTCCTGTTTGCACCTTGGACCTACCTGATATTGATCATACGGTTACATAAAGTATGATTACAGACCTGCCCTTCAGCAACAGAAAATTCCAGCAGAGGGAATGCACTGTTTTCTCCATTCACTCTCCAGGAGTGCTTAGCAACAGCCTGTCACCATCTGGAGCTCATGTGCAGTCACCAAGAGAGCCCAAGCAAAGGCAGTCACCCCTGGGGAGATGTGGAAGGTGCTGGTCTTCCTGGCTGCTTTAACCCTGCAGAGCATGGCATGCGCAGGAAGCTACCTCCTCCTCCTGGTGCTTCCATCCTTTCCAGCCTGCCCAGATGCTCCGCTCATCTGTGCCTGGGGCCTAGTCATGGTTACTCAATCCTGGGGTCTAGTCATGGTTACTCAACCCTGGGGTACCCTGAGGTTTCAGTCAGCCTTCTTTTCCTAGGACTTTCCTGTCTCTCCTTTGCCCCAGGGTCCTCGAAGGAATTTAGATTTTAGATGCTGAGGCTTCAACTTCCTGCCAGAACTTCTACAGAACACAGTCCTCCCTTGCATTTGGATAAGTGTCAAGCAGTTGTTACTTAAGCAAACTCTTATTTTGTAGAGCTGGGGACTAAATCCAGGTCCTTCTGTATGTCGGGCAAGTGCTGTACCACTGAGCTACATTCCTAGCCCTAAAGCGAACATTTTATTGAAGTGAAATATATACATAAAAAGATCACAAATCAGAAGATGGCATCCCCTCACACAAAAACCACCCTCATACCTCATACCTAGTATTTAAAGACACAGGACCTCCCCACACTGTCACTCTTACTCAAGAGTAACTGGCACCTTGACTTTCAATGTTAGAGACCAGTTTTCTTGTATGCTGAAATGCTCATTTCACTATATGACTGTTGACTATCTTTTGCTCATCATCGTATTTGTGTTATTCACCTATGTTGGTACAAGTAATTTTGTTTAGATCATTCTCATTTGTCATAGTCAGCCCTCTGTGATTATATGTGACTTAGAGTTACTACACACACACACACACACACACACACACACACACACTGATTATACTTTAATCTGTAAAGAAGGTGGTGTTTCTACCTTTATTCATACATTCTGATATTGTACAGTTTATTATTGTACTAAGTAGGTGCTTGAATAGTCTCCATTTCTTGGCTATCGTGATTACTGATGCAATGAACAATTTTATACTTGTCTTTTGATATGTCCTCTCATACACATTCTACTAGATATAAGAACAGAAAAAAGCTTAAATGAATGCTCAGCTTTAACAGATAATGAAATAGCTAACTGTGATTTAGGATTGGAGGGGCATTTAGGAAGAAGACCAAGAAAAACATGGCAGAAGGGCAGCGCCTATCAGGTACTTTAGAGAATAGAGGAGAGGGAATAAGAGAGGTGGGAAGGGGGTTCAGAACTGGAGGGGCTTGAGAATGGCAAGGAGCCAGAGGCTGCTGCTGTGGGCTTGAAGTGCTGCAGGTGCAGCCACGGGCACACTGACATTCATGGGGTTCAAGTGCTGCAGGTGCATTCACGGGTTTCAAGTGCTGCAGGTGCAGCCACGGGCACACTGACACTCACGGGGTTCAAGTGCTGCAGGTGAAGCTACGGGCACACTGACATTCATGGGGTTCAAGTGCTGCAG